CATTACACTTACTCATTTAAAAAATCCAATATTAACCAGTTAATCCTTCAGCAGGAATCTGTCCAGTTACGCTCTAAACATAATTCTCACCACTACATCTTCACAAATGGATCCAAGGATGGCGCCAAAGTTGCCAGTGCCGCCATAATTGGTTCAAAAACTATTTCTTCAAGATTACCAGGTACAGCTACATATTTACTGCTGAAGCTATTCAAACAACCTTGACATATATTCAGAAACAAACTGCATGTTAACTCTTCATCATTTTCTTTGATTCTTTGTCATGCCTTCAGGCACTTAAAAACGTCAACCCGAATCATCCGTTAAGATCCCTTTTCACCCTGGATTCCCCTCCTCTGCTATCTCGAAAGCTTGACCGCTGTCGGTGCTGGGTGAATCTGATAATATTATCACTTTTAGCTGTTGGGACTGTTATTGTGTTTGATACTGACCACTGCTATTATATTATGATTATTGTACTTCCCGTCTGTGTACAGACATTGTAATTAATGTGCAGTAATTTGTATTGATTTGTAAACCTTGAGAATTTTGTAATACATTTGTTGATTGCACACCATTAGTTGTTTATTTGTTGCTTTCACACTTAAGTCTTTTCTGTACATTGTTTAAATTTGGGAATCGACACGTAACAAAGCATAGTGTTCATCTTCTGCTTAACTCACATGTTGACTGTGGCCTGATGTGATATAATGTGATAGAGTCTGGACGTTCAGGTAGATACATATGACATATTACCAAAAGGCAATGCAGTTGAATACTGTTGTGTTGAAATTGAACCAACCCACGTCAATATTACGCAATATCCAAAGCTTCGACAAAAATGAAAATTATGAATAAAGAATGATTACGCAGGGACCACGTTTATTTCCCGACGAGACAACCACACGTTAGACACAACAAACGACGTTTGACTGTATATGAATTGACTTGGAGTCAAGATTAGCAGATCTGTTGGCCGCCGATGTCTGGCTCGCCCCCTTTACACGTGGTTGTTGGCCCGTGAACATTTGCAACAAGTCCTCCACTGTGAATCATTCCATTCAAGTTTACCTTGGTAACTTACCAGACACAAGTGATTAAGTTTGTCATGCAGTCAAACTTATTTATTCTGAACTATTTGAAAGAAAACGTGTGATAGAGGAATATGTTGACAATGGTATCATCCACCTTGAATCAACTTCCTCACGGTCTTCATACATTGTAACACACGTTCATTGATATAAGACACAAATAGTAACTGGAGGATTACAATCTTTATTTCAGGTTTAGATTTCATGATATGTCAACAAATAACAAATTTCTTTATGCAAGACCAAAGGAAAGTATCGACGTCAAATATTATTCCACCTGAAAAGGTTTCTTCTTGGCGATAATTCACAGTATGAAGCGTGTTCCCATCTCTATGTGGCAGAGATAGTGCAACTAACTTAAACAGTCACTGAAAGGTACAATGAATGAACCCGCACTACAGGTGTGAGTTGATGGTGTTGATGTTGATGATCATAGGAAATATCTGCTACAAGCAGGTTCATTACATAGGATTAATTATAACTACTCATAGTTTTCGCAGCACGTTCACATACATTGTGTGTATGTGTGTGTGTGTGTGTGTGTGTATGTGTGTGTGTGTGTGTGTGTGTGTGTGTGTGTGTGTGTGTGTATGTGTGTGTGTACGTGTGTGTGTGTGTGTGTGTGTGTGTGTGTGTGTGTGTGTGTGTGTGTGTGTGTGTGTGTACGTGTGTGTGTGTGTGGTGTGTGTGTGTGTGTGTGTGTGTGTGTGTGTGTGTGTGTGTGTGTGTGTGTGTGTGTACGTGTGTGTGTGTGGTGTGGTGTGTGTGTGTACGTGTGTGTGTGTGTGTGTGTGTGTGTGTATGTGTGTGTGTGTGTGTGTGTGTGTGTGTGTGTGTGTGTGTGTGTGTGTGTGTGTGTATGTGTGTGTGTACGTGTGTGTGTGTGGTGTGGTGTGTGTGTGTGTGTGTGTGTGTGTGTGTACATGACATTGTATACAGCTATAGTTCTTCCAACAGTCTCCTAACCGAATGTAATATTTTTTTCAGGACAATAGACAACCAAATATTCCCGAGAGACTCTTGCGCAGCCTGTTTATCTGTGGTTCCCGATGACATCTAGACTTTCTAGACAGACGGTATACGTGAATGTGTTTCATCAGCTGCAAAAACACGCTGACATATGATGGTACTAGTCAAAATAAGTAGCTGCACTGGATATCGTTTTTGTCACTGTACTGATGGGTCAAATTTGTAAATATCCTCAACACGCTTTAAATCCTTTTCTGAGGCCTTGAATGCTACTTAAGGGAAACTGACATTAGGAAAGTTGGACGTCATCCTCCCTCTTGTCATACAGTCATGAGGAGAGACTTTGTCACTCAGAATCTTTATGCATAGGTCTAAAAATATAACCGTAGAGGCGGTACACGACACAAGAAGTTTTATTTGACGTCGGTTATTACAGGTAACGGTATAACTTTGAATCTTTAAAGCTATTAATGCCATGAAACAATGGAGAGGAAATGCATAATAAACTGAAATATCAACATGTGTATTGGAAGCTAAGACATGTTTATAGTAAAATATTTAAAGGAAATACAAGGAAATCACAAGGATATTCACAAAATATTTACACGTAGAACGTTTTCACATTCGGAAGAAGCCTGCAGAAATCTCAGATTTTTTTAAATTGTTTGGCAGATGAAGATCCTGGTGGCCTCATAAGCATAATGTTGATCCCCGGGGAGTCTCCGCCATCAGATGGAATAGGTCAGCGTCTTCGGGGTCATCAAATGTTGGTCACTGGTCTCTTTTTAATTACTCCAAATTGGTCATCTTCGGGAGGGAACTGGCTTTATCATCATACCATCATTCAATATATCTTTTTGCGAATAACAAGGAAACAGAACAACTACTACATGCAAACAAAGATTTAAAGTTACACATCAAGAAAAAATCAAGGACGATTATTATTTTATTTATGTATATGTTCTTATTGTGTGTAGGCTGTTTATGCTGTTTGTTAGTTCAATGTTTAATGCAGCAGGAATAAAATTCCAATTTATGCCGGCGGCTTGTAAATGATTGAATCTGGACTGGATCAGGTAAGTCAGTAATTGTTATTATTGGTAAACTTGTCTGACTACCTGATGAACTGCGGTGCCTCTTATAGTCGCTAGTTGTATGGGACCTGTGCCAATCCAGAATCTCCATGGGGATCACATTCAATTATTCACTTTGCCTAGATTTAAGTATGAGAGTATAAACAAACGGGATATCATCGAGTATGAGAGGGTACGGAAACTATGCATGCAGTATTGTTGTAAAATAAATAACCACAACCAAAATAAAATATAGTCAATATGTTCCCCTGTGATATCGAAAATGTTGTGATTTCAAATAATGTAAGCAACATTCATGTGAGGTAAAATATCATTAGTATCCACAAATATTCATTTCACATTTTCATAATTGTCATCCAAAAATGTAATTTATCTTTAGATAGTTTTAGTCAGCGGACATACGTTTGACCTCAGGTAGATATTCTGTGTTACATTACGCACGTACATGACGTATTTATCAATGCCTTGCTCTGTTGTTCATCTAACTGAGTCTTGCATATAGCAAAGCACTTTTGTGTGTACGCAACAACGCGCATTGTTCGTTTTAATGACGACGTTGAATATGATTATTTGCCTATTCATAAATCCCCATCAACCCGCATTTTTCAGATACCTTTGTTAAGCTCTGCAGCCATTGAAATGTGCGTTGGCGATGTAGTTGGCTTTGGATACGTTTGTCAAAAGATCTAGTGAGTGACAATGGGTTCTGTGTCACATGTAAATCATTTCAGTCAAATTAGAAGTGACAATTGTGGAGATTTGTGAGCCACTCATCTTAGGCCGTGAACCAAGCAATGAACAAGTCCGTGGGTAGGATAAATCAGTGCCACCTGGTGAACCAACTATATATGCACCGAAGGTATATAAATGATTATCGATCCAGTTTGATTTTGTGGCCATATGAGGTGAGGTGAAATGGGGTTCGACGTCGCGTCCAAGATTATAGCACTTAAATAGCAACGTACATGCACGTATGTGTGGCTGTTTGTGCTAGTCCGGACTTATGCCGACTTTGTTGTGTAAAGATTCTGGTACTGTCCACTGTACAGATGTAACAATTATTTCTCAGAAAGAAGTCATGAATCTGGTTTGCCATCACAACACAATTTTAGTTGAGGGTTATTCACATCTAACTGCAGATGTATTAATTATATCATAGTCTCGGGTGTGTAAGTGTGACGTCTCATACAACCATCTAGCACTAATACATTGTGAATTTGTATTCAAAGATATATTCAGTACACCAATAGTGTGCATATTAGTAACTTGAAATAAATGACACATGTAAGAGCCTTGCTGTGACTTGCTACCCATACAGCTACGGACTGTCTGGGCCCCACCGGTATCTACATGTCCGTCTTCGACTGGAGACATTTGAAATAATCTCAACATAAATAATTTTTAAAGGCTTGACCAAATACGTAATTTGGGGTATAGTGTGCATATAAAAATACCGAATGTCGGAAAGACACATTGAGGTAATACCATACTGGCTATGATGAAATATACATGACTCAGTTACATATATAAACACACATGATATACACTGGACGGAGTCCATTAAAGTACACACCATATACTAAGTCCCGAGTGTCGAGCTTGTTGGTGCCAGTATGGTGGTTTCTGTATAAGTGCAAGGCCAGCAGCATGGTGGCTGTGGTTGGATCTCTATGTGACTGACGAGTGCACTGCTTGGCCCTGTGATTTGGTTTTAAAGTGAGTTGGGTTTAACGCTGGTTTTAACAGTATTCCAGTTATATCACGGCGTATCAGCTAAATGTTGGAGGAAAGGCCGAAGTGATGCAGATCTCAGACGTTTACCACTTCGGAGAAACCAACGAGCACGGGTATGGTGCTGACAAACCTAGAATCATAATCGGGACGAACCAGGATTCGAACCACTATCATAGGTTTCTGGTGTTTCAAAGTTACGCAAATCTGCTCAGCGAATCGCGGCGCCTTAGATGACAGGGCCCCCTGTGCCCCCCTTGGGCACAATGCAATGGTGATGATCATTTATATTGAGATCAGCATTTTTATGTAATGGCAATTGAGTGATTTGCAGGCTACATGGTAATTAGCCTTTGGATGAAAGGTTGTCCTGAATCGGCATTTCCAGACACTGATTTTGACACTTACCAGAATAACCTTTCTCTCGACCAGGCTTTCCTGTTACAATGTACTTCCCATTTTTTTTAAGCCTTTCCTGGTGGAAACGTAATGCAATAGCAAGTGCAATTACACAAAAGAGCAGCGTTAGTCCAATAGCAAGACCTAAGGTAAGGTCGGATGGTGATGACTCTGTAGTAGATGGACTTGTGGGTGTTGACGACCTCTCAGATGCTGTTGGTGAGCTTGGTGACGTGTTGCTCGTTCCTTAAATAGAAAAAAGGCAAATTTAAATTGGGAGAAAAAATTCGCAGATATTTCGTTCTCGTCCTCCACTCAAATGAAGCACTCAAATGACACAACTGAAATTTGTCAATGTCAATTTTTGGATTACCCTTAATAAATGTTAACCAAAAAAAACACTTCAACCATAACAGTATATTTTTGAACTGAAGGAATGGAATGAAGTTTTGTTTGTTTTTCTAGCCTGGAATCGACACGGGAACGGTTGAGGATGGTAATTACGTACCTGTCGATGTGGGGGATGTTGTTGGTGAAGGAGCAGCTGGAAGAGAAGAACAGACATGTAATATTTCTACAAGACGTCATATGATTTTATGGATACAATTTTGTTTCAAAAGGGAATTTTACACTTTTTAATAGGTCGTTTAAAACGTGTTTATTGCTGTAAAGCTACCTCAATGCAAAATTTCAATTTTCGGGTTACCCTCAACAAACCTTTCAAAAAATAAACACCAACCTTAACAGCATATGTTTGGACTGATGGAATGATCTGAAGACAGTTTTGTTTGTTTGTATGTTGTTCGCCCTACATGCTGGTCTGTAAATAATCCAATTAGGGCCAGAAAGTCCAGTGATTAACATTATGAGCACCGATCTATGCAATTGAAAACAATAGCATGAAATCCACCATGACACCGACTCTAATCCACAAAGTCGCCTCTCACAACACGCATGGGTTTTTGATTACGTAATCTAGCCTGGAATCGACACAGGAATGGACGAGGGTGGTAGTTATTTACCTGTCGACGTAGGGGATGTTGTTGGTGAAGGAGCAGCTGGAAAGAGAACAACAGACACGTAATATTTGTACAAGACGTTATGTGATTTTGTGAATACAAATTTGTTTCAAAAGGCGAGTTGGCTCCTTTTAATAGGTCGTTTAGTGCTCTAAAGCTGCTTCACTGCAAAATGTCAATTTTCGGGCTACCCTCAACAAATCTTAACAAAACAAACAACAACACCAACCTTAACAGTATATGTTTGAACTAAAGGAATGGTCTGAAGACAGTTTTGTTTGTTCGTCCAGCTCCATGCTGGTGTGTAAATAATTCAATCAGGGCAAGAAGATCCAGTGATTAACATTATGACCATTGATCTACGCAATTGGAAACAGAACATGGAATCCACAAAGTCACCGACTCGTTGGTTGTTGAGGACCTATTCTAGCCTGGAATCGACAAGGGAACGGTTGAGGGTGGTAGTTACGTACCTGTCGATGTGGGGGATGTTGTTGGTGAAGGAGCAGCTAGAAAGAGAACAACAGACACATGATATTTGTACAAGACGTCATGTGATTTTGTGGATACAATTTTGTTTCAAAAGGAATTCGCCCTTTCTAATAGGTCGTTTAAATGTGTGTATTGCTGTAAAGTCACCTACTACAAAATGTCATTATTCGGTTTCCCTCGACATATATTGTTGTTTAGTTATCAGCCAACGGAAAACAAATGCTAGATGTCCATCGTAAACCTTAACAGTATATCTTTGAACTGGAGGAATGCTGTGAGGATAACTGTATTAAGATAAATACCTACCGCTTAACTTGGAAACTCCATCGCACGTAAGTGATCTATTGCTGTTGTCACATCTAAACATAACACTGACATTTCCCAAACGATCAGATGAGACGTTGAAGAAGTGGTGCTGGACAGTGTCGGTGATGTTGTGCGTGGTCTGGTTCTGCAACAAGACGTCTGTGACGCTGCCAGTAGTGAGATCAAACCCAGCTTGTTGAGAACAGAAGTAGCCTCTGATGTCCACTGTCAGAGTGAGAGTTGTACCTGGCTCCAGTACATCGGTGTCTGTATCACTGCTGATGTTGCACTGTGGGGGACCTGGTCAGTAAATCATGTACATGTTAATGTCACTTTAATTTCTGATGTTTAAAAGTGAAAAGTTTCATCCAGCAAAAGCATTAATGCATTTACAAGCAAAATTGAAAATATTTAAAGTAATATATTTATTTTCAATTTTCTCAGTGAATAGATACTGATTTGTACTTATAACAACTCTAAAGTTTAGTCTCACTTTTTAACAAACTCTTTACTCCACTACAGCTCAGATCACTGCTCATGACGTCACATGCAAACGACACCGTGACGTCACCAAAACGTGAAAGGACAATATTGATAGTTTTGTTAATGACGTCAGTCGTGACATCACTGACGTTGTGTTTCGTCAACAACGTCTCCATGAGAACACCAGTGGTAAGGTTAAAGACAGTTTCCTGGGAACAGTAGTAGCCGTTGATGTACACTGTGACTGTCAGGTTTGTGCCGAGCTCAAGGGCGTCTGTGTCCACATCACTGCTGATGTTACATTGCGGAATTTCTGTTGACAGAAAATACTCAAAGTATTTATGATTCCAAAAATGACATTATCAACTTGGCTCCACTAAAATTACGTTAGAAACATAACCAGTTCAGGCGATGGCTGGTTGGTTGGTTTGTTGATTTTAACGCCGCACTCAGCTATATTCCAGCTATATGACAGCGGTCTGCAAATAATCGAGTCTGGACCAGACAGTCCATTGATTGAAGTCATGAGCATCGATCCATGCAAATGGGTTTTTGGTAGACAGTTACATGTTTAGATATATTTAGTTACAATTTATATATTTAACTGGCTGATAACAAACATATTGGCTGATCAGTTTTACATATTAAAGCAATATCCATTAATGTAACTTGTCTGATGTCCGAATTTCGACGCTAAGTATTCTTTTTCGCCTGTCCACTCAGAACATTTTGATACAGATACCAGCACGGATTGTGACGTTGTTCTCATTGTGTGATCGTATAATATTATGTTTTATCCTGAGCCGTCGCTATATACAACATGCACAACAAAACGAAAATAGCAGTATCAGAACAATTTGGTATTGACGACAAAAGGTAGTAACATGTAAATTAATAGTGAACGAGACAGAGGATAAAAGTTTACTTGAAAAGTAATTGTTGGTTAACCTTTTAAATTCGCATTTGTTGACTTATCAATATAATCACCAAGGAACCAATGTTTATGGAATTTAACCATTCTTTTGACTTCACGGGCGGGGATCACGGGGAATAATATAGGTCCCCAGCAACCTATGCTTGTCGTTAGAGGTGACTAAAAGGATCGCTTGGTCAGTGACTTGGTTGATGTATGTCGTCATCGAGCCTGGCCTCCCGATCAATTTAGTTGCCCCTTCCGACAGTGACACTTACGGAACTGGGGAACTGTATTGTTACCAGGAATCTACACGGTTTATGGCTAGATCCGATGATCTATAATATGTCGAAATGTTTTGTGTAAATACTCACTAGCTGCGGTCAGATGACACACGTCTACAGGGATGGGATCCACTACAGTCGCATCCACGATCTTCCATGTACCAGCATCTTCCATCTTAACACTGTGTATAGTGAGTGTAGAGTGTGTGTCGTTCATAGTTGCCCTGTATCCAGCCACGGGGCTGCAGCTGGGGTTGCAGGTGACGACATACCGGCCATCACTTGGTCGTACCCATATAAAGCCTGTATAGCTGCTTCTGTCACCAGTTATGGTGTAATCTGCTTCAAGAAGACCGACACCCGCTGGACACATGGAAGCTATTAGGGAAGCACCTTGAACACAAGTTGTATAAAAGATTGCTACGACATGGAATACAATCACTATAATTCATGTTAAATTATTGAAAATGCCCGGTTGTGGTTGTTACTGATACAAAAGACCCATTTATTAGAGATCGTTGTCAAAATTGCATGTTTGAAAATGCTGGTGAAGAAATATTGTTGATTTTAGACTTTTGACTGTAGACGGTTGAAATCAATCATAAACACACTGCCCAATTAAAAGACGTTTAATGCTATTTGCAATCACGCTTTGATAAGGTAGTGGATCCTCTTGTACCTTCGTAAAACATCATAAGCCTCAAACTGTTCAATATATTACAAGGTGACATGTAAGATAATCACTTAAATTACAGTGAAAGAAAACAAGCTACAGGAAATGTTACCCATTATTTTGTGTATTATATCGACTTATTGATAAAAGAATATAGTTTCTTACATGCTTTTTTTTCCGAGTGTATTTTTAAGGCCCTGCTGGACACATAATTTGTAAATCAATAAAATATCAATATAGGCCATGGCCTAGCTAGATGATAACAGCATGGATAGATTGAAGTAATTACATTGCTCTCCTTACTGTATACGCACCTGTTGACGTAGGAGTCACAGCCGTTGTAGATATGGAATCTGTTTTGGAATATAATCATATAATAAAGAATTGAGATTTTCGTTTTCTTGTTCATGTTTGCTATTCACTCACTTATTGTTAGCCAGATATAAATATGACGCACTTCCAATATGTTCTGCTAGACTTTCGTTAAAGGTTAGTACATACCTGAGTAGTTATAGAACTAGTGGGTTTCTTGTGATTGTTGGTGCTGTAATACTCACGCACCCACTCACTCACTCATTGTTTGCGGGAAAAGATATGACGCACTTTCAATATGTTTGGTATCAACAATTCAGTTAAAATAGACAAATGTGACAACGTACCAGAAGACGTCGGCGTGTCACCTGATGTCGAAGAAATATATACATTGACTTGATCCTATTGATCTTTACACATCTTCCTCCAACCAATTCTTTGTAAAACTTATTTTCACAGATTTATCACCTGTCAGACTGTCGTTAAAGGTTAATAAATACATGAGTAATTATAAAGCTCGTGGGTATCTTGTGATTGTTGGTGCTGTAATACTCATTCACACAATGCTTGTTTGCCAGTGAAAATATGAGGCTCTTTCAATACGTTTGGTATGGAACATTGAATGAACACAGATAAATTTGACAACGTACCGACAGACGTTGGCGTGTCACGTGTTGTCGAAGAAATGTCTGAAACGAATGATCGAAACATATTACAGAGGCACATTATATTCGAAATATATACATTGAATTGTACGCATCGATTATGACACACCCTTCTCCATCCAATTCTTTGTAACAAATTATTTTCACAAATTTATCAGCGGCTTGACTGTCGTTAAAGGTTAATAAACACGTGAGTAATTACAGAAGATGTGTGTTTCTGGTGAGTGTTGGTGCTGTAGGTTCTTGCCATAAGTGCCTGATATATATGCTATTACGTAACGACTCAAATACTAGTATTACAAACATGTAGATAAATATACAGCAATAAATCTACAGCAAATGCATTGAAATCAGACTCAAGCCATCAGCTCTAGAACTACAAGCACTTTTAATTAAGCAGCCTGAATAGAAACTATAGGAATACACCTTTCAATCAGGGTCATACTTGGAACAGTAAGGTCGTTTGACACATTAGCTGTCAGACAAAATATACAAGTACAAACACTGAATTATAAACACAAATTTTGAAATTTTGAACATTGTTATTAAGTGTCATTTATTATGCTGATATACATCCAAATCAACTTTTTTGTTTTGAAATATGTGCAGGTACAATATGTTGGGTAGTGCCAGTTGTTTCTAATGCCCTTAAAATGGGATAGTAATACGTAGAAAACAATTACAATATTTGACTTGAATCCCCCTTGTACTCACTGGAGACCATCACTTCACACACGCCTTGCGGCGCACTTGTATCATTTATTGCATCTTGTATCCTCCATGTTCCAGCATCATTCACTCCGACACTGTGTATAGTGAGTGTAGAGTGTGTGGCGTTCATAGTTGCACTGTATCCAGCCACGGGGCTGCAGCTTGGGTTGCAGGTGACGACATACCGGTCATCAGTTGGTCGTACCCATATAAAGCCGGTATAGTTGCTTCTGTCACAAGTTATGTTGTATTCTGTCTCCAGTGTTGCCACTCCACCTGGACACGGTGCTTGTGTAGGGGATACACCTACAGTAGCAATGAAACACCAACCACTACAAGGCTGATCTACTTCAGACATTACCACAGTAACTGTTTTTAGTTTATGGAGGTATTTAAGTAAAACCGGTGCTCATATTGTGTAGTTACCTCCTTAAATGCACAATTCTTTTTTAATAATTTGTTATAAATAAATAAGTCAACAATAATAAATTCACATCAACTGTAGACACCTCTTCGAAATCAGTAACATCCTTCATTCTATTTTTAGCCAATCAGGAAACAGCATGGTGGGCTTTACACAGTTGCTTGGTGAAAAATATTTCATAAATAAATCGGAAGTAAAAAGCAAATCTAAATCATATGATTATGAAGGTTGAGGACACATACTTAATCATTACATTAAGTGAAAAAACTTAAATGATATATATCTAACCTGGCTACTTTTCAGAAAATAACATGGACATTTAAACTTACTTACCATGGATGAAAGTCACAGTCAGAACCAGTAATACATGTACTTGGTTTTGTTTAACCATCATTTTCAACAAACTGGAAAGAAATACACAGCGAGATTGCTACATTTTTATCCACTCAGTCTAGTTGAGGTCATTATTTGTCATATTTAACTTTTGGCGCCTTCAAACATTAACTATCATCATATCGTTTTTTGAAAGTTTGTGCTTTTATGAGAAGGGACGGTGGCATAGTGGGTAATGCGTTCGCTCGTCACACCGAAGGAGCGGGTTCAATTCCTTCATGAGTAAAGTGTGTGAAGCCCTTTTCTTGTGTCCCCGCAGTGGTTTTTTTGTGTCATTGCCAACATCAGCGTAAAACAATCATCATTCACTTCATTATGCAAATAGGTTACGAACAAAAATATCTTTGTTTGACAGAAAGTATAAATATTCACTTTCAGTATATATATTTGGTAAAATATATGAAAACAATTGATAACTTACCGATTGTACCACTTGCTGTCGTAGAAATATCTGAAAGTAAATTACGAAAAACATGAGAAGCAAATCATTTAAGAAATATGTACATTGACCTGTGAAATATTTCCCAAACCTTTTCAATGTAACAATAATTGAATTAAAAAGGAGACTACGTTTATAACGAACATGCTTACAACGAACTGACGGATATAACGAATTTATTTTTGGTCCCGGATATTTGCTGTATATATGCTTAAAATATGTTTGTAACGAACTACGGTTATAACGAACTAAAACTAGTGGTCCCTTTAAATTCGTTATAACCATAGTTTACTGTACATGAACAATCATGACCAACCAGTAGAGAGAGTGCAGCTTACATGGTACAAGAAGGGACATTTAACATTTGCCAGCCAGAGTTTTGAACCCTCGTGTTATAATGTCCACTATCTGGAATCCTTGTGCACAGAACAAGTATGAAATACATCGTTTCTTTTGTGATTAGACCCATGTTGGGTTGATTTTAGCATTGCGTCAGCTTTGGAACCCATAAATAAATTTATGGTGTTTAATCCCAGTTTATTGATTCACCCGGCATGTGGATACGTGACTCCACTGAACTATTCCTCAAGAATCCGTCTGAGTGCATAACCTGTTTCGCTCGCCTGGTCATTGATATAAATAGCTCTGGCGGATTAATGTAATCGATGAAATCTCGGACTCTTGCCAGGGACATTCGGACGTCTTCGGATTCGTGTATTAACATACAACACAGGGTCACGTTATCGCCACTTCTTTATTCGATTCTAATGTTCGGAAAAACTTTTTACAGATTGATATATATTTTATATTTCGGGAAGGTTTCTTGGCTGGATACTGTACTCGTTGGGCTAACGTAAGGAGAAATATGCAAATATGAAAGGTCAGGTTGGCACTTCTTTCAGTGTTTTCAAACAAACATGGCGTCGCCTTGTCCCATCGTACATCGAGTCACAATTAACCATCATGTAATTTATTGGAATAATAACTATTGCTGTTAATGTTGATAGTGATTGATATTGATATTGATTATGGAGGGACATTCTACAAGTGCAGGGAACTTTGGAAACATAGAATGCCAAGCAATGTTAGCGATGACGCTTGTGGCAGAAGGATTGGTGAGGCACAAATTAGCTGCTATAACACATAGATCATTTTACCATGAGTGAGTGAGTGAGTATGGTTTTACGCCGCTTTTAGCAATATTCCAGCAATATCACGGCGGGGGACACCAGAAATGGGCTTCACACATTGTACCCATGTCGGGAATCGAACCCGGGTCTTCGGCGTGACGAGCCAACGCTTTAACCACTAGGCTACCCGACCGCCCCCATTTTACCATCAAACTCGTTGAGATACTGATGACGGGAGGCTGACAGGTGCCCCCGATTTGACGTATTTTGACCCGTGGAGTTTTTCTTATTATCCAACAAACAAAATCGGTTATATACTGAACCGCAAAGAAACCCCACGGTAACATTGCATGAAAAGTTATCGTTGAAATATCTGTCTATTTTTTTTCAAATTTTCTAAAACTTAACATTACCGTGTCTGGAAAATAAAATTTGATGATAAAAAACCAAAGCAGATGACAATAAAACTGATCGCCCAAACGCATCACGGCAACGTACATGGTAACCCGATGCACTTCAGTTCCATGCAAATTGAACTGCACATGCATTCCTCCACCCAAATCCACCCAAATCGGAAAACTTTCATTCGTTATTGAATTGCTACCAAGTGACAAGATTGACACGAAATCAGCGACACCAAGCCCTTGGACGATTGCAAACTGGACAAGCCGCCCGGCAAGTAGCCAATGCAATTCAAGTCCACGTTAGGACCATATACAGGCTTCAGCAACGGTACCAGACCACCAACACTACAGATTACCGACCACGTAGTGGAAGACCAAGGGTGACCACCCGACGTCCTGATCAGGATCGTCAGATTGTGCCACAGTATCTTCAAGATCGCTTTGTTACTGCTGCGGAAAATACTTGACAGACCACGGGGACACACCAGCGAAACATTAGTGCCGACACGGTGCGTCGACGATTGACGAGCAGACACCTCCACTGTCACAGGCCACAGAAAGGGACCATTCTGACACCACGTCATCGCCGGGACCATCTTCAGTGGTCCACACAGCACCAGCATTGGCGCCACCAGCAGTGGAGAAGAGTCTTCTTCTCGGACGAGAGCCGTCACTGTATCTCAACAGCAGATGAGAGAGAGAGGGAGTCTGGTGACGCCGTGGGGAACGTGTGAGGTGGAATTGGTCTTGCACAGAGGGTCGGCTCTGTGGTCTTCCACAACATCATTCCAGGGAGACAGCAGCTCGGTACATTGATCAAGTCTTGAGAACACACGCCACCTTTCATTTGGTACGTCGCCGCAACCATGAGTTTCAGCATGCTCAGGAGACTTCCGCAGGCAGAATGACATCAGAACCATGCAATCCCGATTTAAATCCCATTGAGCACATGTGGGACGAGATTTAAAGATGGCTGAATGTCGGCCTTGGTAGTAGCTTCCTCCCTACGGCTTCGATTATTTCACCTTTGTCCAATATTGTAAATCAATAAAATGGCATGAGATGAGGGTTTTAAAGCTAAAATTGTTTAATACGACCTTGAACGTATTTGATGTGTTTACCTCGTTACAGCACTTTCCTTTTATACACACTATAACACTCTAACACTCTAACACTCTAACACTCTAACACTATAACACTCTGACACTATAACACTATAACACTCTAACACTTTAACACTATAACACTATAACACTATGACACTCTGACACTATAACACAATAACACTATAACACTATAACACTATAACACTCGTTGTTCTCCATACGTGTACTTCATAAGTGCTCTCCATACCCGTTCTCCAGCCATTTCTCAATACCCATTCTCATTACCTCTTCTTCATGCCCGTTCTTCACAACTCTTCATTGTACTCGATCTTCATGCTTCTCTATAGAGATTACTACACGAGTGCCTGTCAGATACCATTTATCTTTCAACGAGTTGTTTCAAAACGCATCTAACGAGCGAAAGCTTTGAAACAACGAGTTGTAAGATAAATGGTATCTGACAGGCACGAGTGCAATAATGTGTTTCTTACACACCCTAAAATCATCGCTCCTTTTTCGCCTCGAATCGATGCATTTTGTCTGTTCTCACGATGGCAGTGGCGCATTAATTCATAAATAATGTGACCCTACATCTAAACCAAAAAAACGGGTCCACTATATGTGGATTACAAAGGCGATGATGATAGTGCAAACCAGATAGGATCAAAGAACACGCCTGATGCCGAGTTAAAAAGATTCACATCGTAGAATTTACCAAATAGGTACAACATTATTTATTACCGTATGACATCCTTACCGGTGACCGACTTCTACAAAATGGCGAGTTCACTGACAACCGTATGCGGGATTTTCAGAAGCGTATTTTCGTTGATTGAGGGATGGTATATACATAAATGTGTCATGTAAGAAATCAGAAACAATCAGAAAATCTGCGTTCTGTTATTTGTTTTTATGTTTCCCAGTGTATCCAAGAGTGAGTGAGTGAGTATGGTTTTACGCCACTTTTAGCAATATTCCAGCAATATCACTGCGGGGGACACCAGAAAACGGGCTTCACACATTGTATCCATGTCGGGAATCGAAAACGGGTCTTTGGTGTGACTTTGCGTCTGTCGTGGCGTCACACAGGACGGAAACTTTTACGATTTCTGTTAAATTTCCCTGATCATTATAATGTATATAATTTTAATTCCATAACTCTTCCCTCCAAACGAGGCAGCCAATGTATGCAATAATTAGACGTATTGATCTCTCAAAATGGGAGTGTAAAATCTGAATTTTGCTTTGTTTACATTTCATCAAGTACAGATTTCCGAGCACAGTGTTCATTTGCACATCTATTTTTTTGGCTTGATGTCATCTGATTATTTGATTTGGTGACAAAGACCATTTGTCACTTGATTCTAGAATGTAGGTGGAATTCAGGGATGCTTGTATCTCAGCTAATTTTGAAATGCACGTGATCTAATAGGCGTTTCATAACCCGCATACATGAAATGTGATTTTGTAAAAACTATCCAAAATAGCGAAAAGTGCTCTTTGGCGTTCGTGTTTGGGTAATTTCCAAAACATTCTAAACGATTCCAGGTTCCTCGGCGACGTTTCAGAATTATCATTGCTGTTTCGGTGAAAAAGAGAAAACAGAAAACGCATAACACGGGGATATATCTATTAACACCATTACGTTCAACACAGACGTAGGTGGATCAACGTAACAGGTATCTCTATACCCATTCTTCATACCTTTTCTTCATGCCTCCACTCAATACCCGTTCTTCATACCCGTTTTCTTCACCCATTATCCACACCCATTCTCCATACCTGTTCTCCATACCTGTTCTCTATACCTGCTCTCCATACCTGTTCTCCATACCTGTTCTCCATACCTGTTCTCTATATGCGTTATCTATACCCGTTCTCCATACCCATTCTCCATACCAGTTCTCTATACCTGTTCTCCATGTGTTCTCCATACCCGTTCTCCATACCCATTCTCCATACCCGTTCTCCATACCTGTTCTCTATACCCGTTCTCTATACCTGTTCTCCATACCCGTTCTCTATACCCGTTCCCCATACCTGTTCTCCATACCCGTTCTCTATACCCGTTCCCCATACCTGTTCTCCATACCTGTTTTCCATACCCGTTCTCCATACCTGTTCTCCATACCCGTTTTCCATACCTGTTTTCCATACCCGTTCTTCATACCTGTTCTCCATACCCGTTCTCCATACCTGTTTTCCATACCCGTTCTTCATACCTGTTCTCTATACCCGTTCTCCATGCCTGTTTTCAATACCCGTTCTCCATACCTGTTCTCTATACAAGTTCTCCATACCTGTTTTCAATACCCATTCTCCATACCCGATCTCCATACCTGTTTTCCATACCTGTTCTCTATACCCGTTCTCCATACCTGTTGTCTACACCCGTTCTCCATATATATTCTCCATACCTCTTCTATGTACCCGTTCTCCATACATGTTCTCCAGACCTGTTCTCTTTACTCGTTCTCCATACCCGTTCTCCACACCCGTTCTTCATACCTCTTCTCTATACCTGTTCCTCATACCAGTTCTTCATGCCTCTACTCCATACCCGTTCTCCATACCCGTTCTCCATACCCGTTCTCCATACCAACAGTATATTGACTTCAAGCTCGACTTGTCCTTGTTTTATTTCCAAAGTGACGAAATGACAGTGGCATCTAAAGAGGTCAAATACCAATGCATGCGGTATCAATTTAATCTTGCGTGTTCAACAAAGCGCTGTTCGCTATGGCCGTCATACATACCAGATCGCATGACAAGACTACAACTCTTGAACATAACGAACTCTCGTAAAAAGACTTGAACTGTTTTATGTCAACATCTAGGCAACAGTGTAATGAAACGTTTTTCACTTCCACACTGCTGAATTGCTATCTGGGATTTTGCCCAAGACACGTGACAGCTACGATCATATGCGGATACGGTGGGGTGTGAGGTGAGAAGTGGTATCCGTACCCACATGTGTTCACACGTCACAACGTAGAGTGGGAGAATATGGACGTGACAGCTTGCAGTAGCATTCCAGGAATGTCACAGTGGTGGCCACTTGAAACTGTAGCCTTGCGGGCAATAGGACTTCAGGTTGAGATCAAGGGAGATGACACACAGAGAGCCTGAGAGAAATATAGACGTGGATGAACGAGAGAGATTTAGAAATTGAGGCGAGACAGGGAGTGATTGACACAGGGAATAGATTGAGTGAGTGGCTATGGCCTAGCAAAAGGCATAGTATGGTATTCCCGCAATATCGTGGCGGGGGCATTAGAAAAGCGTCGCACACATAGCACCATTGTGAGAATCGAACCCGGGTCTTCGGCGTGAGTTGCAAATGCTTTAACCATTAGGCTACACAACCTACCCAAGGTATGTAGAAGATACAGCCTCGTCAATACAGCCTCTAATGGGTATCGCGAACAATACGGCTCATTGAATGCGGGACATGTAATAAACCCCGCGCTCATTACCGCAAATTCACAACGCTGCATAATTAGTGACGGGTGCGGCATAACATGTATTTTATACCGTGGCTTTTAATTCACATTGTGCTTTATTTGTGTGCCACTGCTCTGATGTTTAACATGCAGTTTTAGATTATTAAAAACTCATAACGATTCTTCCTTCCCCGACTTAAACAAAATATACGGCTCCCATCACTTTTACCACATCCGCCACAAGTAGTCCCCACCTCCCTAACAGGCCCCTAATCCCGACCGCGTGAACTAAGAAAACATTACGCTCTAACCATGGACCTTAGCCAAGCCGTAAATCCTGATTGTAGTCAGTTGTGTGTGTAACAGATAACCGTTAGTCATAGGGCAATCATCATTGATTTGATATGTACTGTGGGACCCTATTCCTGAGGAATTGCGATGTAAAAGCGTCTGCACTGCGGAGATTTACAGGGAAATTCAGGTCAAGGATAGCGTATGGGTTACCTGTGCATTGAGGGTAGACGTCGGGAGTAGGGTAATGATAAGGTTAGGGGATAGAGTTAGGAGTAGGTGTAGGGGTATGGGTGGTTATTAGGTTAGCGGTTATAGGGGAAGCTAGAGTAGGGTAATGATAAGGTTAGGGGATAGAGTTAGGAGTAGGTGTAGGGGTATGGGTGGTTATTAGGTTAGCGGTTATAGGGGAAGCTAGAGTAGGGTAATGATAAGGTTAGGGGATAGAGTTAGGAGTAGGTGTAGGGGCATGGATGGTTATTAGGTTAGCGGTTATAGGGGAAGCTAGAGTAGGGTAATGATAAGGTTAGGGGATAGAGTTAGGAGTAGGTGTAGGGGTATGGGTGGTTATTAGGTTAGCGGTTATAGGGGAAGCTAGAGTAGGGTAATGATAAGGTTAGGGGATAGAGTTAGGAGTAGGTGTAGGGGTATGGGTGGTTATTAGGTTAGCGGTTATAGGGGAAGCTAGAGTAGGGTAATGATAAGGTTAGGGGATAGAGTTAGGAGTAGGTGTAGGGGCATGGATGGTTATTAGGTTAGCGGTTATAGGGGAAGCTAGAGTAGGGTAATGATAAGGTTAGGGGATAGAGTTAGGAGTAGGTGTAGGGGTATGGGTGGTTATTAGGTTAGCGGTTATAGGGGAAGCTAGAGTAGGGTAATGATAAGGTTAGGGGATAGAGTTAGGAGTAGGTGTAGGGGCATGGATGGTTATTAGGTTAGCGGTTATAGTAGAAGCTAGAGTAGGGTAATGATAAGGTTAGGGGATTAAGTTAGGAGTAGGTGTAGGGGTATGGATGGTTGTTAGGTTAGCGGTTATAGGGGAAGCTAGAGTAGGGTAATGATAAGGTTAGGGGATTAAGTTAGGAGTAGGTGTAGGGGTATGGATGGTTGTTAGGTTAGCGGTTATAGGGGAAGCTAGAGTAGGGTAATGATAAGGTTAGGGGATAGAGTTAGGAGTAGGTGTAGGGGCATGGATGGTTATTAGGTTAGCGGTTATAGTAGAAGCTAGAGTAGGGTAATGATAAGGTTAGGGGATAGAGTTAGGAGTAGGTGTAGGGGTATGGGTGGTTATTAGGTTAGCGGTTATAGGGGAAGCTAGAGTAGGGCATGGGTATGTGTAGGGTGGAGGTAGAGGTAGGTGTAAGGTAAGAGTAGGGTTAAGGATAGGATAGGGTAGAGGTAACGTAAGGGGTAGGGGTAGGATTAGGGTTACAGTAGGATAATGATAGGGGTAGGTAGAGTTAAGGGTAAGGGTAATGTTAGATAGGGGTTGAGAATGGGGAGTAGGGGTAAGGGTAAGGATAGGGATAGGGTAGGGTGGGGATAAGGAGTAGGTATAATCGTAGGGGTGGTGAAATGAATACGGTAAGCATAGATTAGGGTAGGAGTAACGGTTAGGGTAGAGGTCGGGGGTAGGGATGAGGGTAGGGATAGAGGAAGGGCAGGGGTGGGGATATGGAGTAGGTATAATCGTCGGGGTGGTGAAATGAAAACGGTACGCGTAGAGTAGGGTAGGGGTACCTGTAACAGTAGAGGTCAGGGGTAGGGGTGAAGGTAGGGGTAACGGCAAGAGGAGAGGTCAGGGTAGGGGTGAGGGTAGGGGTAGGGATAAGGAGCTGGTAGTATGGCTAAGGGTAGGGGTAGGGAAGAGGTAAAGGTAGGGGTAGGGTAGCAGTAAGGGTTGGGTCATTGTAGAGCAGGGTTAAGGTTTGGGTTTGAGTATGGGTAGTGGTTAGTGTAGAGATTAGGGTATGTACATGGGTAGGGGGTAGGGTAAGTGTTAGGGTAAGGATGAAGGTTTGGGTAAGGGTATGGGTGGGGTTAGCTTTGAGGCTTGGGTGTCGGTACAGGCAGGGTAGAGTAGTCAAGGGTTATGGTAAAGTTGGGGAGGGTTCAGGTTGGGGATGGCGGTAGGGCTGGGGAGGGTTAAGGGTGGTTGAAGTGGAAGGCTTTCTGGAAAGTTTTGTGTAAGGGTTAAGGCAGAGGCTTGGGTTGGGGGCTCAATACCGTACTATTGTGTGATACCTCAGTTTGCTGGATAACACCTGTTGACTCATCACTCAATTTTCGGGGCGGTCGGGTAGCCTAGTGGTCAAAGCGTTCGCCTGTCACCCCGAAGACCTGGGTTCGATTCCTGACATGGGTACAATGTGTGAAGCCTATTTCTGGTGCTATTGCTGTGATATTGCTGGAATATTGCTAAAAGCGACGTAAAACCATACTCACTCTCTCGCTCATTCAATTTTCTACTTTCTGTCGATCTACCCCCTGATCGTGCCCATGTTTGTGTACCACAACACAGTTTCACATTAGGCGAACTGTTGTGACGTGTGCAAAGTGTCCTGATCAAATGTTAACGTCACATCGAATACATCAATGAATAAATGAAGTCATATCAGAGACGCCATCTAAATACGCTTTTGGGAAATGATGGTACACAGTCAACAATGAGAACACCCGATTCTTAGTTCGGTTGTATTTTACCTGAGCAATGAGGTGATGAGGTTTTACAATGACAAACATTGACGAATGGAAAAAGAACAGATGTTCATTAGGCTTTCGCAATACAACTCGGTGCGCAAAATGTTCAAGGAGAGCCCATTTGGCATGTTTCACATGCATACGTATTGACCGCAACCATAATTTTAACATAAAAATAGCCCCTCACCAAATAACACCAGATGGAAGCGTGGGCCCAATTCACACCCACACCAACTTGTCCATCCAACACCCCAGTCCCATACCCGCTCCCACGCCAACTTGTCCATCCAACACCCCAGTCCCATACCCGCTCCCACGCCAACTTGTCCATCCAACACCCCAGTCCCATACCCGCTCCCACGCCAACTTGTCCATCCAACACCCCAGTCCTATACCCGCTCCCACGACAACTTGTCCATCCAACACCCCAGTCCCATACCCGCTCCCACGCCAACTTGTCCATCCACCTCCCCAGTCCCATACCCGCTCCCACGCCAACTTGTCCATCCACCTCCCCAATCCCATACCCGCTCCCACACCAACTTGTCCATCCACCTCCCCAATCCCATACCCGCTCCCACGCCAACTTGTCCATCCACCTCCCAAGTCCCATACCCGCTCCCACGCCAACTTGTCCATCCAACACACCAGTCCCATACCCGCTCCCACGCCAACTTGTCCATCCAACACCCAAGTCCCATACCTGCTCCCACGCCAACTTGTCCATCCACCTCCCCAATCCCATACCCGCTCCCACGCCAACTTGTCCATCCACCTCCCCAATCCCATACCCGCTCCCACACCAACTTGTCCATCCACCTCCCCAATCCCATACCCGCTCCCACGCCAACTTGTCCATCCACCTCCCCAATCCCATACCCGCTCCCACGCCAACTTGTCCATCCACCTCCCAAGTCCCATACCCGCTCCCACGCCAACTTGTCCATCCAACACACCAGTCCCATACCCGCTCCCACGCCAACTTGTCCATCCAACACCCCAGTCCCATACCCGCTCCCACGCCAATTTGACATCTAACACCCCAGTCCAATACCCGCTCCCACTCCAACTTGACATCCAACACCCCAGTCCCATACCCGCTCCCACGCCAACTTGTCCATCCAACACACCAGTCCCATACCCGCTCCCACTCCAACTTGTCCATCCAACACCCCAGTCCCATACCCGCTCCCACTCCAACTTGTCCATCCAACACCCCAGTCCCATACCCGCTCCCACTCCAACTTGTCCATCCAACACCCCAGTCCCATACCCGCTCCCACTCCAACTTGTCCATCCATCTCCCAAGTCCCATACCCGCTCCCACTCCAACTTGTCCATCCAACACCCCAGTCCCATACCCGCTCCCACGCCAATTTGACATCTAACACCCCAGTCCCATACCCGCTCCCACGCCAACTTGTCCATCCAACACCCCAGTCCAATACCCGCTCCCACGCCAATTTGACATCTAACACCCCAGTCCCATACCGGCTCCCACGCCAACTTGTCCATCCAACACCCCAGTCCTATACCCGCTCCCACTCCAACTTGACATCCAACACCCCAGTCCCATACCCGCTCCCACGCCAACTTGTCATCCAGCACCCCAGTCCAATACCCGCTCCCACGCCAACTTGACATCTAACACCCCAGTCCCATACCCGCTCCCACGCCAACTTGACATCCAACACCCCAGTCCTTTACCCGCTCCCACGCCAACTTGTCCATCCAACACCCCAGTCCCATACCCGCTCCCACCCCAACTTGTCCATCCAATACCCCAGTCCTATACCCGCTCCCACTCCAACTTGTCCATCCAACACCCCAGTCCCATACCCGCTCCCACGGCAACTTGACATCCAGCACCCCAGTCCAATACCCGCTCCCACGCCAACTTGACATCCAGCACCCCAGTCCCATACCCGCTCCCATTCCAACATCCACATCTGACTCAACATACCTACATACATGTACACACACCCTACACCTTCCTCACCAAAACAGTAAACATATAGCATCAATCATCCTCACCCACACATCCTACACCTTCCTCGCCAAAACAGTAAACATATAGCATCAATCATCCTCACCCACACACCCTACACCTTCCTCGCCAAAACAGTAAACATATAGCATCAATCATCCTCACCCACACACCTTACACCTTCCACACCAAAACAGTAAACAGTAAACATATAGCATCAGTCATCCTCACCCACACACCCTACACCTTCCTCACCAAAACAGTAAACATATAGCATCAATCATCCTCACCCACACACCCTACACCTTCCACACCAAAACAGTAAACATATAGCATCAATCATCCTCACCCACACACCCTACACCTTCTTCACAATTCAGTAAACATATAGCATCAATCATGCTCACCCACACACCCTACACCTTCCTCACCAAAACAGTAAACAGTAAACATATAGCATCAATCATCCTTACCCACACATCCTCACCCTTCCTCACCAACCATTGTCAAGATCAGGGTATCAATAAATATATATATATAATTATTTCAGCCCCCAGCAATGCATCACATAAATCACGCTTCAAAGCTGCATGTAATCCACAATGCCACACTAGATTATGTCATAACCCTTCAAGACAACTGAATGCACGAACACCCACTATGGCGTATGATGTTATAGAATGTACAACATCACTGACCCTTTCATATAAATACAAGTCATTACATAGTGATATTCATATACTTACAAATATCAGATAGAAAATCGTTGAAGTGATAGTAATGGCGGTAAATGCGCCCCGTGGACCGTCATGCATTGTGCAAGTTACCTCATAAAACACCCAACTTACACAATACAGCCTTCGTATATATTTGTATTCAGTATGATAGACAGGTACACAATTGATCATGTAAATAAATTGCAAGCGTCTTACCTTTTTGGCTGATGTAACGAACCAAACTATACTTTTCAAAGTGTAGTCACAAACACTGCCAAGTAATCCCGTCCAGATCAATCCACCATGTTGGTTTTTTTTCTTGTCATGTGCGTGACATCGATATGTGTATTGGCATGTTGACAATGACAACTGCTACAGGGTCGTAAGAGGCGTCGCTATTCGCTCTGCAGCACTGTGTCCGTTAGGCGTACCAGAGATCTATAACTCTGGCTTCGAATCTGCCATAGTCACACTGACCATGTTTCTAGGTTTGTCAGCACTGTGCTCGTGTTTATATGGTACAGAACATTTATAACAAAATAACAAAATATGAAACTTTCATTACAAGGGAAGAATATAGGAGGGGTGTAACAGTTTATAGCAGATGGCCATGATTAAACCGAGTGGCATACGTTTGACTCCATCACGATACTGGAGTGTTTTCCTTTTTGTTAGATGAAAAGTCGACTTCAATGTTCCTGAACTGTTCAGCACTGTTTATGTATATCTCTGACATCGAACACACTGCTTTGCGTGTGAAGGTTGTTGGAAGAAGGTTTACGGGTTGCGTGTGGGTGTGGGTGTGAGTGTGGTCGTGGGTGTGGGTGTGGGTGTGGGTGTGGGTGTGGGTGTGGGTGTGGATGTGAGTGTGGTCGTGGGTGTGGGTGTGGGTGTGGGTGTGGGTGTGGGTGTGGTCGTGGGTGTGGATTGATGCGGGTGTGTATGGATGTGGGTGTGTGGGTGGGTGTGGATGGGTGTGAGGGTGTGGTTTGGGCTGTGGATGTGGGTGTAGGTGGGTGTTGGTCTTAGTGTGGGTGGTGGTTGGTGTGTGGCGGTTGTGGGTATGGGTGTTGTTGTGGGTATGGGTGTGGATGTTTGGATGTGTGGATGTGGGTGTGGTTGCGGTTGTGGGTGTGGTTGTAGGTGTGGGTGGGTGTGGGTGTTGGTGTGGGTGGGTGTTGGTGTGGATGTGGGTGGTGGGTGTGGGTGTGCGTGCGGGTGTGGGTGTGGGTGTGGGTGTGGGTGTGGGTATTGGTGTGGATGGGGATATGAATGTGGATGTGGATGTGGATTGGTGTTGGTGTTGGTGTTGGTGTGGGTGGTGGGTGGTGGGTGTGGGTGTGGGTGTGGGTGTGAGTGTGGGTGTGGATGTGGGTGTGGATGAGTGTTGGTGTTGGTGGTGGGTGGTGGGTGGTGGGTGGTGGTTGTGGGTGTGGGTGTGGATGGAAGTTGGTGTTGGTGTAGGTGTGCGTGCGGGTGTGGGTGTTGATGTTGATGTAGATGTGGATGTGGATTGATGTGGGTGGTGGGTGGTGGGTGGTGGGTGGTGGGTGGTGGTTGTGGGTGTGGATGTGGGTGTGGGTGTGGGTGTGGATGTGGGTGTGGGTATGGGTATGGGTGTGGATGTGGCTGTGGATGTGGATGTGGGTGTGGATGGAAGTTGGTGTTGGTGTTGGTGTGGGTGGTGGGTGATGGGTGGTGGGTGGTGGTTGTGGGTATGGATGTGGGTGTGGATGTGGGTGTGGATGTGGATGTGGGTGTGGATGGCAGTTGGTGTTGGTGTTGGTGTTTGTGTGGGTGGTGGGTGTTGGGTGGTGGGTGGTGGTTGTGGGTATGGATGTGGGTGTGGGTATGGGTGTGGATGTGGATGTGGGTGTGGATGGCAGTTGGTGTTGGTGTTGGTGTTTGTGTGGGTGGTGGGTGGTTGGTGGTGGGTGGAGTACCGCACACAGCCCACCATTCCAATTTGGTACACCTTTACTGAAAATAGGCCATTTTGGCTTTCAATGTACTTTGGCACTATGCGCTTCATATTTTGATAACCAATATCCTAGTAAATATTATTGAAGCAAATCCATTTCAAACAAAAATCAAGTTCCTGTTGCAACAGAAGTTACCATTTATTGCTGTGATTTGTGGAGAACCGCACTCAGCCCACCATTCTAATTTGGCACATCGGGGCTGAAAATAGGCCATTTGGTTTGCAACGAGGTTTTGCAGTGTCCACATCATATCTTGAAAACCAAAACTTTACAGTATATTTTTCAGGACATTATCATTTTAAATGCATGTAAAATTAATTTACCAACAGATGTTACCATTTATTGCTGTGCTTTATGGAAAACCGCACACATCCCACCATTCTAATTCGGCACACCTTGACCGAAAATAGGCCATTTTGGCTTGCAACGTTGGCAGTATCCATGCACTTCAAATGTTGTTAAATAAAACCTTAAAAAATATTTTTAAAGCAAATCCATTTCAAACAAAAGTCAAGTTCCTGTTTCAACAGAAGTTATCATTTATTGCTGTTCTTTGTGGAGAACCGCACACAGCCCACCATTCTAATTTGGCACATCGGGGCTGAAAATAGGCCATTTGGTTTGCAAAGAGGTTTCGCAGTATCCACTTCATATCTTGAAAACCAAATCTTTACAGAATAATTTTCAAGACGTTATCATTCGAAATGCATGTAAAATTCATTTACTAACAGATGTTACCATTTATAGCTGGGCTCTGTGGAGAACCGCACACAGCCCACCATTCTAATTCGGCACACCTTTACTGAAAATAGGCCATTTTGGCTTTCAATGTAGTTTGGCACTATCCACTACATATCTTGATAACCAATATCCTAATAAATATTATTGAAGCAAATCCATTTCAAACAAAAGTCAAGTTCCTGTTTCAAAAGAAGTTACCATTTATGGCTGTGATTTGTGGAGAACCGCACTCAGCCCACCATTCTAATTTGGCACATCGGGGCTGAAAATAGGCCATTTGGTTTGCAACGAGGTTTTGCAGTGTCCACATCATATCTTGAAAACCAAAACTTTACAGTATATTTTTCAGGACATTATCATTTTAAATGCATGTAAAATTAATTTACCAACAGATGTTACCATTTATTGCTGTGCTTTATGGAAAACCGCACACATCCCACCATTCTAATTCGGCACACCTTGACCGAAAATAGGCCATTTTGGCTTGCAACGTTGGCAGTATCCATGCACTTCAAATGTTGTTAAATAAAACCTTAAAAAATATTTTTAAAGCAAATCCATTTCAAACAAAAGTCAAGTTCCTGTTTCAACAGAAGTTATCATTTATTGCTGTTCTTTGTGGAGAACCGCACACAGCCCACCATTCTAATTTGGCACATCGGGGCTGAAAATAGGCCATTTGGTTTGCAAAGAGGTTTCGCAGTATCCACTTCATATCTTGAAAACCAAATCTTTACAGAATAATTTTCAAGACGTTATCATTCGAAATGCATGTAAAATTCATTTACTAACAGATGTTACCATTTATAGCTGGGCTCTGTGGAGAACCGCACACAGCCCACCATTCTAATTCGGCACACCTTTACTGAAAATAGGCCATTTTGGCTTTCAATGTAGTTTGGCACTATCCACTACATATCTTGATAACCAATATCCTAATAAATATTATTGAAGCAAATCCATTTCAAACAAAAGTCAAGTTCCTGTTTCAAAAGAAGTTACCATTTATGGCTGTGATTTGTGGAGAACCGCACTCAGCCCACCATTCTAATTTGGCACATCGGGGCTGAAAATAGGCCATTTGGTTTGCAACGAGGTTTTGCAGTGTCCACATCATATCTTGAAAACCAAAACTTTACAGTATATTTTTCAGGACATTATCATTTTAAATGCATGTAAAATTAATTTACCAACAGATGTTACCATTTATTGCTGGGCTTTATGGAAAACCGCACACATCCCACCATTCTAATTCGGCACACCTTGACCGAAAATAGGCCATTTTGGCTTGCAACGTTGGCAGTATCCATGCACTTCAAATGTTGTTAAATAAAACCTTAAAAAATATTTTTAAAGCAAATCCATTTCAAACAAAAGTCAAGTTCCTGTTTCAACAGAAGTTATCATTTATTGCTGTTCTTTGTGGAGAACCGCACACAGCCCACCATTCTAATTTGGCACATCGGGGCTGAAAATAGGCCATTTGGTTTGCAAAGAGGTTTCGCAGTATCCACTTCATATCTTGAAAACCAAATCTTTACAGAATAATTTTCAAGACGTTATCATTCGAAATGCATGTAAAATTCATTTACTAACAGATGTTACCATTTATAGCTGGGCTCTGTGGAGAACCGCACACAGCCCACCATTCTAATTCGGCACACCTTTACTGAAAATAGGCCATTTTGGCTTTCAATGTAGTTTGGCACTATCCACTTCATATCTTGATAACCAATATCCTAATAAATATTATTGAAGCAAATCCATTTCAAACAAAAGTCAAGTTCCTGTTTCAAAAGAAGTTACCATTTATGGCTGTGATTTGTGGAGAACCGCACTCAGCCCACCATTCTAATTTGGCACATCGGGGCTGAAAATAAGCAATTTGGTTTGCAACGAGGTTTTGCAGTGTCCACATCATATCTTGAAAACCAAAACTTTACAGTATATTTTTCAGGACATTATCATTTTAAATGCATGTAAAATTAATTTACCAACAGATGTTACCATTTATTGCTGGGCTCTGTGGAGAACCGCACACAGCCAACCATTCTAATTCGGCACACCTTGACTTAAAATAGGTCATTTTGGCTTGCAACGTTGTTTGGCACTAGCCATGCACTTCATCTGTGATAAATAATATCCTAAAAAATATTTTTGGAGCAAATCCATTTCAAACAAATGCCAAGTTCCTGTTTCAACAGAACTTACCATTTATTGCTGTGCTTTGTGGAGAACCGCACACAGCCCACTATTCTAATTCGGAAAACCTTAACTGAAAGAAGACAATTTTGGCATATCTTGAAAACCAAAACTTTACACTATAAATTTCAGGACATTATCACTTTAAATACATGTAAAATTCATTTACCAACAGATGTTACCATTTATAGCTGGTCTCTGTGGAGAACCACACACAGCCCACTTTTCTAATTCAGCACACCTTGACTGAAAATAGACCATTTTGGCATATCTTGAAAACTACAGTATATTATTCAGGACATTATCATTGTAAACGCATGTACAACCAAAACTTTACAGTATATTTTTTAGGACATTTTCATTTTAAATGCATGTTAATATCATTTACCAACAGATGTTACCATTTGTAGCTGTGTCTTATGGAAAACCGCGCACAGCCAACAATTTTAATTCGGCACACCTTAAATGAAAATAGGCCATTTTGGCTTGCATCGTTGTTTGGCACTATCCACTTCGGAGAAAATCCATTTCAAACAAAAGCCAAGTTCCTGTTTCAA